CCCTAAACCATAAACCCTAAACTAGCCACACGGCAACTTCGCAGCATGGATCCCGCGCTTGGCCTCTTCACCTCCGCGACCATCTCTCCGGCGGCCTGGCAGCTTTCGGCTTTATTGAAAAGAGATCTGAACGTTTTTGGGGTCCCCACTTCGGGTTTAGGGTTTAGGATCTGAAAGCCCCTTGGGGTCCCCACTTAGGATCTGAAAGCCTCTTGAGGTCCTCACTAAGGAGGTGTTCTAGGGCTTGCCTAGGTCTTTCGGGCTTGGAATCTAGGTTCCTGAGTGACCCCTAAATACTAAGGGTGCCCTTTTTCCTAGTATTCGGTTTTAATAAGGAGACCCCAAAATAAAAAGGGCAAAAGGGTACTACTCAGGAACCTAGGAATAGGGTTTACAGTCAGTGTTGCACCTGCCAACTACCAGAGACTCCGAACCCGACAGATACTGACTGTCTCCCGCTGTTGAGAGGCTGCAAAACTTGGGTTTAGGGTTTAGTGTTTAGGTGTTTAGGTTTTAGGGGTTTAGGGTTTAGGGGTTTAGGCTTTAGGGGTTTAGGGTTTAGGGTTGATCTAGAGTTTCGGGATACAAAGAAACCGGAAGAAGGAAAAACACAACAGGGAGGAAGCTCTGAATTTGGTGAGAAGCAAGCATTAAACAAAGGGTTTATGGGTTTAGGGATTAGGGGTTGAGGGTTTAGGCGTTGAGGGTTTAGGGGTTTAGGGGTTTAGGGATTAGGGTTTAGGGTGTAGGAGTTGGGCTTTGGCGGCCGGTTTGGCAAGTGCCTATCGGGTTCTATACGGACCTGAACAATTCTAAGGTAGTTTCGTACAGCGTAACTGGTATGATGACTGAAGTCCTAATCACCCTAGTGGAAAACTGCATCGGGCTTCATAGGTCAGGCAACATAACTCTGCCGTGCGACAGAGGAACCAGACTAGCCCTAAATTTCGCATGGAACGACTAGGGACCCTACATCCTCGATCTGCTGCTACTTAGAACTAGTGATCACAGCTTCCGCGCGCAAAATACGTACCAGCTTCTGTTAATTCCCCCTCCGTCCTTGCCGACCGACTTCATGGTGAGGGCGGCGAACCAGTAGGGGATCATGCAGCCGATGATGAGGAAGGCGAAGGTGACGGGCTCCAGGATGTTGACGCCGGTCTTCACGCGCAGGCGCACGACGAAGGCGCCGTAGAGGGCCAGGGAGACCAGGGCGGCGGAGCCGATGGCGAAGCCCTTGCCGATGGCCGCGGTGGTGTTGCCGGCGGCGTCCAGGGCATCCGTGCGGCGGCGCACCTCGGGGCCGAAGAGCGCCATCTCCGCGATACCGCCTGCGTTGTCCGAGATGGGGCCGAAGCCGTCGATGGTGAGGCCGCAGGAGAGCGTCGCGAGCATGCCCAAAGCCGCCAGGGCGATGCCGTAGAGGTCGCAGAGCTGGAAGGACACGAAGATGCCCGAGGACAGCACGAAGACCGGCACGATGCAGCTCTTGTAGCCCAAAGCCAGGCCCTGGATGATGTTCACGGCGGTGCCGAACTTGCACGCGGAGGCCAGCTCACGCGTGGGCACGTAGCTGTGGGAGGTGAAGTACTCTGTGACCAGGCCGATGATGAGGCCGCCCACGCAGCCCATGGTGGCACAGATGAAGCACTTGAAAGGGCTTCCGGTGATCTTGGCCGGGTGTCCGTCCTCAGTCAGGCGCACACCCTCCAAACGGAACTCTGCAGGGAGCAGGAAAACTGCAAGGTAGTAGATGACGGGCAACATCAGGACGGCGGTGAGCACCATCTGCACCTTCAGCACAGTCTCGATGTCGGCCTCTTCCTTGACCGGCGAGATGTTGGTGGCCACAAAGCCACAGAGAATGCAAATGACAATGCCGGCAGCCGAGATGGCCAGAGGGAAGAGCATGGCATCCCAGCCGGCATCTGCCAGCGTGTGGTGCGAGCCTTCGACCGCAGCGGCGGCGATAACGAGTGCGGCACAGGTGCTCTCAGCAAAGGAACCGAAGAGGTCCGCGCCCATGCCGGCGATGTCGCCCACGTTGTCGCCGACGTTGTCCGCGATGGTGGCGGGGTTGTTGGGATCGTCCTCATCCAGCCCGGCCACAACCTTGCCGACCAAGTCCGCACCGACGTCGGCGGCCTTGGTGTAGATACCTCCGCCGAC